TTATATAGGGAAGGGATGGGGGGAGGGAACGAGGAGAGTCATTGGCGAATCACTAGGCAGAGGGCGGGAGGATCCTACTTTTGAAAGCGGGAAACAGAAACTTAAACTTAGGCGAGAAACTCAAATTTAGGCGGGAAGCGGGAAACAGAAACTTAACTCAGGCGGTTTGATACATGATTGCCCGGTGGGCTAGTTTCCCACAGGTCCTCCCTTTTTTATTTATTTTAAAAAGAGGGGACCAGGGATCCTTCCCTGAGGGGGCTGTGCCTGTCTTAGGTCAGAAGAACATACGTGCCCATTTACACGCCTTACCCGTCATGGGTTGACCAGATAATCAATGATCTGGCACCTGTCTTAGGTGGCGCATAGGGGCTCCCCCCTGGGACACGTCTCTTCAGTTGCCCGTCATTGGCTATCCAGCCCAGCTCACCAGGGCTGGAGAGGGGGAAGGGGCCCACCGGTATGTGAGGGCTCCGTTAGACCTCCAGATAGGTTCCCTGGTCGGCCATTTCCAGCTTATGGTAATGGACCTGAATGGGCTCCATTTTTATGGCTTCAATCTGTGACTTTAAGAACGCCATGAGTTTTTTAAACAATACAGGTCCCAGAGATAGTAAGATCAATAAGCCAAGCAGGGGTCCTAACAGGGGAAGGAGATAGGGGAGGAATCCATTCAGTCCACTCCAGAAGGGGTTTTCAAAGAGCTCCCTTCGTCTCTTTACTAGGTCTTCTTGGAGTTCTTTGATTTTATCTCGGACAATTCCAGACTTGTTGGCATAGAAGCAACAGCGTTCTTGTAGGGCCAAGCAAATCCCTCCTTGTTCAGCGGTAAGCAGATCCAGGCCCCTCCTATTTTGAAGGACCACCTCTGCCAGAGAATCGATCTGATCCTGGATATCTGTGATGGTGCCAGAAAGAGCTTGGACATCATCAATCAACTGATTAGACAACTTAGCATAGGAGTGTAACGCAACCCCCATTCCTGCTGAGCCAGTGGCCAGGGCGCCAGAAACTCCCAACCCCACGAGCAAGGGGACCAGCAAGACTGCCCTCTTATGTCGCCCTGCAATATACTCGAGGCTGGGCAAGGGCACAGGCTCATCCCCAGGGATGAGGGAAATGTCTGGGAGGACGACTGCCAGCACGCATAGCCTGGTCCAATTGGTAGGCAAGGAGGTGAAGGCCAGGCTCCCACCGCAGACGAGTACGCAGACGAGTACGTGGCCAGGAGCGGGGCAGAGAGCAGCAGAATGATTGGTCACTAGGGAGCAGGTAGAAAAAGTTTGAAACCCAACATCTATATCATAGCTATTGTTTTGAGCCAGGCCCTGATAACATTGAGAGGTATTAAACTGTACCGGCTGGACCCTAAAGGGCAGGGAGAGGCTGCAATTATTTCCTAGGGCAGCGGAGGAATTGGTTACAGGTAAAGCGATGGGCATGGGCACCCCAAGGGTCATACATAGCCAGCACTCTTGGGCGAATTTTGGGTTGGAAAGGTTAAGTGTTTGGAATGTGGCTTCTAGGATGGTAGTAGTTTGGGTGTCGAGATCTATACCTCGAGACTTGGGCAAAGCTAAAGGATGGTAACGAACGGGGGGTTACATGTGTTCGATAATTTCCACCATCCGTTCCTGTACCTCCTGTTCCCTCAACCTATCTGAGGGCCCACCACCGTCGGATATGTGGAGTGGGGCCTGTGGTGGCCAGCAGATCGACTTACCGGTCTGGCCGGTGGGGCAGCTGGCTTGCCCATACTTGTTGACCCCATGAACACTATTGGGGTCATACTCCCCCCCAACGGAGCCAGAGTATTCACTCTGTTGGGTGGCAGTTAGGTAAGTCTTGTCATTTTGACCTGTACATTGTTGTGCCTCTTTGTAGCACGTAGAGTGCATCTCCGAGGTGTAATGACACTCTGAAGGGCATGGTCCTGGCTTGCCATTAATTACCGGTATGATTTTGGGTTTCTGAACACACTTCCAGCCCTGTTTTACCCCCCCAGTGTTGGAACTCTCGGCTGTCAGATACGCTATCTTGTCTCCGCAGTCGGTCTGGCGAGTGTAGACCGGGGGGATCGCTTGGGGGCGACCACCCTTGCAGTCGCAGGGGGACCCATATAGCACTATGAGCAGTTTTTCTGGATCAGCTGGACCTCCCATTCCGCCCTCTGCTGTCGGTGTCAGGGCTAGCAGCATCCCATGTAGCAGGATTAGGGATATCATCTTCCGCATCTGAAAGCAAGATCATTGTCTCAGGGAGGACTTTCTTCCCTAGAGGATATTAGATTATCAGTGTTGTCAATATGTTTATCTACTTGTTTTACCAGACGTTTCAGAAGCCACCTGGCTGACTTCATTTCCTTAGAGTAAATACACACTGATCCTCGGCCCCAGATAAGCACGGGGTCAGGTCCGTGCCATGAGTTGTTCAGGGGGTCTTTCCACATAACAGAGGCAAAGTGCTTCTGTGTCTCTGTTTGTCAGAAACGATTAGCCGCTGATAATCCTTTGGCATCCAAATTTTAAAAATTAAGAATGAATAGTGCATGTGATATTAGATTTCTGGGTGACCCCTTGATAGGGTACCATTCCCCCTTTTTTATTTTATCTAAAGTAATTTTGAGTGTGAGGTTGGCTCTCTCTATAATGCCTTGGCCTTGTGGGTTATATGGGATACCTGTCACGTGTGTTATGTGTAACTGTTTGCAAAACTTAGAGAAGCTAGAGCTGGTATAGCCTGGACCATTGTCTGTTTTAATTTGTTGTGGGCATCCAAGTACTGAAAAGGTAGTTAGAAGGTGGGCAATCACATTTTTAGTAGCCTCCTCGGTTTGTAGGGTGGCAAATATAAATCCACTATATATATCAATGGTGACATGTATATATTTAAGATTTCCAAATTCAGGGCAGTGTGTGACGTCCATTTGTCATAGGGCATTTGGAATTAAGCCACGAGGATTAACTCCCAAATGAGGTGTGGGGAGATGGAGGGTGCACGTAGGGCATGCCTTAACAATTTGTCTAGCTTGTTCTCTAGTAATTTTGTACATGAGGCGAAGCGTGTGGGCACTCAGATGATGTAAGTGGTGTGTTTTTTGAGCCTGGTCAATCTGAGCGGGGGGCATCAATGTTTAGCAAGCAGGAGCAGACTTGCGGCCGTGTGGCCAGGTCTGCTAACCGGTTGCCTTCTGTAAGTGGGCCAGGTAGGTTAGAGTGGGCACGAAGGTGTCCAATAAAAAAAGGCTTGGATCTTTCTCTGATTAGATCTTGTAATTGAATAAAAAGACCACCAGTTTGAGAGGCGTGTTTTATCAATCCACATGTCTCTAATAGGGGAACAGGTTGAGCAATATAAGCACTGTCAGTAAAGAGATTAAAGGCTTGTTTAGGGAATGTAGAAAAGACCGCTATGACTGCGTGTAGCTCAGTTGGAATTGGACAGTGTTATTGTCCCACACATAGGCAGCTATCCCGGTGGAAGAACCATCTGTAAAGACTAATAGGGCTTCTGTTAGAGGAGAGCAGGAAGTGATCTTTGGGAAAATGAACTCATGTCTATTGGCAAAGTCAATAAGTTTGTTTGGAGGATAGTGATTGTCTATCAAGCCCGTATAAGAAGCGAGAGCAATTGGCCAGGAGTCAGTAGTCTGTATAAGCCAATCAATTTGATCTTTAGGGTAGGGTTGGATAATAATATCAGGTTCTTTTCCAAAATACATTTTTCCATGGTCTCTGCCTAGGATAATCAGGTCTGCAACTGTAATACAGTAGGGATAGAGGACCCGTTTAGGGGAAACCAGGAGATGAACCCACATAAGGGGTGTGGTTTGCCAGAAAACAGCAGTGGGAGAGAGAGAGGTTTTGCAGATAACATACTGTAAAGGAGAGTTATAATCTATAAAGGTAATTGTTTGATTTTGGATGGCTTGTTCTACCGCTCTAATGGCTTTACGCCCCTCAGCGGTGAGCTCCCGAGGTGAAGTGGGGTGGCTATTTCCTTGTAGGGTATCACAGAGAGGTTTTAGGTCATGTTTAGTAAGTTTTAAATATGGCATGAGCCAATTTTTATCTCCGAGCAATTTCTGGAAGTCATTTAGGGTTTTAAGATTGTCTAGCTGTAAAGTGAGCTTTTGAGAGGAAATGTTAGGTCCCTTCATCTGAAATCCGAGGTAAGTATAGGAGTCTCTCAGCTGAACCTTATCGGGGCAATTTGGAGGCCACGAGACTCAAGGGCCTGTCGGAGATCAGCATAACAGGCTAAAACCTCACTTCCTTGTTGTCCCGCCACTAGGACATCATCCATATAATGGACAATGTACATCTGAGGCCAGTTATCTCATGTGGATTGGAGAGCTGCGGCCACAAATGACTGGCATAGGGTGGGACTATTGGCCATGCCTTGGGGCAGTACTAGCCATTGGAATCTTAGCATGGGAGCTCGAAAATTGACTGAGGGGAGGCTAAAGGCAAAGCGCTTTTGGTCGTCAGGGTGCAGGGGGATGGTAAAAAAACAATCCTTTAGATCAATGATAACCTTATAATAGCCAAGGGGAATGGCCGCCGGCGAGGGCAGGCCAGGCTAGGCTGCAAAGCTCCCAGGAGGATCCTAGTTTTATTGACCGCCCTTAGGTCTTGTAAGAGTCTCCATTTTCCCGATTTTTTCCGGATCACAAAAATGGGTGTATTCCATGGGGAGGTACTGGGGATGATGTGACCCGCTTGAAGCTGTTCCTGCACCAGCTGTTTAGCGGCACCCAGCTTTTCCTGAGATAGGGGCCATTGATCGACCCACACCGGATCATCTGAAAGCCAGGTGATCTTTTCAGCGTGGTGTGCAGGAGCATCACTGGCCCCTATGGAAAATGGCCTAAACCTGCTCGAGAGGACCGAGGAGTCGGCTCGATAGGCTGTACAATGCCTGTGGAGTTTTTACCCAACCCCTTTCCAGGGATATACCCATTTTTAAACATTTGCATGGTAACGACCTCATTAGGGCTGGAGATAATCATTCCCATTTGTGATAACAAGTCTGCCCCAAAGGTTGAGAGGCAACCCAGGGATCACGAAGGGCTGGATGGTACTGTGATGCCCTTCTTGATCTGTCCAGGTCAGTAGCTTAGAGCTTTGCCGGGGGATTTGGCTTTGGCCTATGCCTTTGAGGTGAGTGAGGGTATCCTCCAGAGGCCATGTTTGAGGCCAATCTTCCTCTTTAATGATGGTGACATCTGCCCCCGTGTCAACCAGTCCTGAAAACTGTCTCTTATCTAGCCATAAGGTCATAAGGGGCTTCTGGTTGGAAATTACCTCTGACCAGTAAACATCGGAGGACCCAAACCCTGAGTTGCCCCGGTTGTTAGGGAGGGCTTTGTTGGAGGTAGGGAGGAGAGGAAGGAGCAACAATTGAGCAAATCTTTGGCCTGACGGAATGGTGTTAATAGTTTTGGGGGAGGAGATCATAACTTTAATTTCTCCCGAATAGTCACTATCAATCACCCCGGGATACACCAGCAGTCCTCTCATGGTACCACTGCTCCTACCTATTATCAATCCAAAGGTATTTTTTGGTAAGGGTCTGAAGACACCGGTTGGAAGGGCCTGAACTCCCATCTCTGGGGTTAATACTGTGTGGGCGGTGGAACTGAGGTCCAATCCGGCGCTTCCTGTTGTGGCTCTGAGGAGGTCTGAAATGGATTGTTGTTTGCCGGAGGCAAGCTGGTTGCCCCATACACTTGTTTGGTTTTGGGGGCCTGGGGCTGGCCCCCCCTCCCGTTTCCCTGATATGGAGGATGGGACGACGGGAGGGGCTGGCCATGAGCGTCTGTTTTGAATCTACACTCATTGGCCCAATGATTTCCTCTCTTGCATCTAGGGCAAGGCCCCGGAACAGGCCTTTTAGACAACACTGCCTTTCCGGATGTACACTCCTTAGCGAAGTGACCGGCCTCCCCACAGTTAAAGCATTTATTTTTATTCTGTTGAGACAGGAACTGTCTAACGGTGTAACCTTGCACGGCCGCAGCCATGGCGAGCCCCTGTTGGTAAGCCGCCCCAATTTCTGAACAGAGGCGGATGTAGCCAGAAAGATCTGTCTTTTTCTTATAAGGGCGAATGGCTGCCTGACATGCGGCGTTGGCGTTTTCAAAGGCAAGTTGCTTAACAAAATCGGTCCCCGTCTCTGCACCGTCAAAAATCCTGCCTGCCGCTGTGAGGAGACGATGAACAAAATCAGCAAACGGTTCATCGGGCCCCTGTCTGATGTTAGTGAGGGAGGCACTCATGTCTCCTTTGGTAGGAATTTTTTTCCAGGCCCTAGTGGCCGCAGTTTGAATCTGGGCATATAACCCTGCATCGTATTGCATCTGATTATCACTGGAGGCATAGGTGCCTTCCCCCCAAAGCATGTCAAGTATCCAGCCATTTCCTGCTTGTGCATTGCGCCTAGCGGTGTCCCGGCAATTTTCAGCATATTCAGATTTCCATAACAAATAGTCCCCTCCGGACAAGGTGGCTCGGGCCAGCGTTTGCCAATCGGCTGGTGTAAGCCAGTTTTCTGCCACTGACTCCAAAATGGCCATAGTGTAGGGTGCAGTTGCCCCATACTGAGCGGCGGCTGTTTTGAGCTCCTTTATGATCTTAAAATCGAAACCACCGTGATGTCTCCACATCTGCCCTTGTGGGTCAGTGGTCTCGGTTACCGGGAAAGCCTCTAGGTCTACAGGCATTGGAGATTTGCCTGGTTTGGGTATGGCCTTAGGGGCCGCCCCTCTAAGGGGGGGGCTGAAGACTAGGCCTGTCCTTTTTACTGACATCTTTTTGTACCTTGCCTGTTTTTAACTCTTCAAGTTGGGTAATAAGTTCCTGGTGTTCTTTTTCTAGTCTTATCTGTTCTTTTAGAGATTGTATCTTATCCTGGAGTTCTCTTTGGGGATCTACTGCGGGGCAGACAAGAGGGGGAGCACTGGGCTCCCCGGTTTTTGCGGAATAAGGAGGTGGTTGCTGGGCAACGGGTGGCCGGTCTGGATTGTTATACCGAGCGGCCTCCTCATCAAGGTCTGCCCAATCTTTGTCTCCCAGCTCATCTGAGAAAAAGGAAGTCGACTTAAACTCTCTGAGTGAAGGATAAAGCCTCTTTTGTTTAGCTCGGGCCCCGGAGGGTGGACCGCTCGCCTTCAAGGAAGTGGAGGTCCCAGTCTCCTTTTGGGGCCTTTTGTCCTCTATCTGAGGAACATTCGAATCGTCCTCACTGTCAAAGGACATCAAGTCTTCTCCCTCTTTTTGATCCGTCACTCCGCCCTGTACTTCCCCTTTTTCATCCGCCATTTCACCCTGTGCTTTTGTTCCAGCTTGACTGAATTTCCCTTTTTGTTTTAACACCTCTTCGCCTGCCTCAATAGCACCCGCCACGATGGGATCTCTTTGTTTTTGGGATATGATTTCACCTATTAAGTTCCAGAAGGAAAATGCGGTAATGGGGACCTTTTCGGGCCCAAAGGTGTTGTAGTAATTTTTAAGAGCGTCTCCTACTCTTTTTCATCGTTTTTCATCTATAGTCCCCTCGATAGGAAACCAAGGACAAACATCTCTAATATAATCAAAATATTTTAACAATTGTTTCACAGTCACCTTTACCCCTCGTGCCTTTAAAGCCTTTTTGAGACCTTCTACAAACAACTCATGCTGGCTGATTTCTTGTCCCATATTCGCTGTTCCACTTACCGAGGTTCAGAAGAGACGGCAGGTTCCCGTCAACTCTCGTCCTCTTTCGTTTTCTTTTTCTTTTCGCCGGCTCTCCGAACAGCGTTTTTCACTGGATCCCCCGTGCTCGGGCCCCACGTTGGGTGCCAGTTGTCCCGACCCGCGGGTAAGTCAACGGAGACCCTAGAGGGGGAGTGAGAATGGAGGGACAAGAGACACAAGAGACGGACACAAGACAGGCTTCTG